TGCATGGCCATAAACGCACAGGCTAAGAAGAGAACACAACTCAATGAAAAGATCCGGTGTGCTACACTGTCTGAGATAGGGTTCAAGACTACGAGTCACCCTTATGAAATCGGAAGTGTAACCACTACGCTAAGGTTCAAATCTTCGCGATACCTTAGCTTATGCCCGATCTTATGGAATTGTTAATGCTCAGAGATAGTTTCAAAACTATTCAAGTGGGGGATTGTTGAGAAATGTGAATAGTTTGTAAAAAAACTAAAGGAAAGTCCTTGAAAAAAGGTAAGTGAAGTTAATTCGGATTAATTCTCCGTATTGAAGGAAACGTTTCTTCAATCAGAATTAATTGACCGAATTAACGGAAATTTCAATCAATTCGATTGATTTTCCATATTGAAGGAATCTTTTATGATCAGATCAATTGCCCATACTAAGGGAAAGTTTCAATCAATCGGATTGATTTCTGGTATTAAATGAAACTTTTATCAATCGGGTTAATTGTCTGCATTTAAGAAAGGTCTAATCAGGAGTTATTACTCTTGATTTCCTTCCTTAAGAAGATTCTCAAATCCTCCACCAAGAGGGGAAGGCTGAAGGTCTCAACCAATATAAATAGATGAGTTGCCTAACCCTAAAAAGGTAGAACAACTAGCATAAACACAATAGAGAGAGTGATACAGAGGGAATGAATAAGATTGTAGCAGCTTCAACAATGACCTTCTTCCACCTCCTCCTCCTCTGGGAATGGCGACTGGAGATATGGCAGCAAAAATTTCTAACATAGCCCGACCCGATTAACCCGCCCGATCAACCCGACCCGCAACCCGACCGCAACCCAAAATGACTAAAAGTCAACAACCTGTAACCCGCCCGACCCGCAACCCGATTGACCCGCAACCCAACTAACCCGCAACCCGACTAACCTGCAACCCGATTAACCCGCAACCCGACTGACCCGCAACCCGACTGACCCGCAACCCGATTGACCCGAACCCGATTGGCCCGAACCCGATTGACCCGTAACCCGACCGACTCAACCCGAATTTCATCTTATCCACTTGAATAATTATAAAAATATACAATACATAGTTTTTCAAAATAAAGTTTTTCATTCTAAACTTAAGTAAAATTATTTTTTCATTTCGTATAAGAAATTTTAAAAATATGAAACTCACTTGATATTACGTATTTTAAGAAAATTATAAAAATTGAAACATGAAGGTCACTTGAGATCATGACAATATTAATATAATATATAAATTAAAATTTTGGTTAATTTAACTATTCAATAAAATTATCAATTAAATATAAATAAAGTAAAGTAATATATTTGGTAATTTGATGTTTTGAAAAGAAGAGGGAAATTTTGATGTTTTCATGTTTTTGGGAAGAGAAAGAAGAGGAAAATTTGTTTCTTTGAATTTTTTTAGAAAAGAAACAAGTGGGAATTTTGGTGGTTTTGATATGTGGGAAGAGAAAGAAGTGGGAAAGTTTGATTCTTTTGATTATGAAAGAGAAATAAGGAGGGAAACTTTTGACTTTTCAACTTTTTGTAGAAGGAAAGAAGAGGGTAATTTGTTTCTTTCAATTTTATGGAAGAGAAAAAAGAGGGAAAATTGAGTTTTCTAATGTATGGAAGGAGAAAGAAGGAGGAAAATTTTAGTATTTTTGTGAAAAAAAAAGAAGGAAACAAATTTGATGTTTTCAATTTTTTGGTTTTCATAATTTTAGCTTTTGAAATATGAATCTTTAACTTTTATATGGAGGGCATGACTAGTTAAAATTATTCTTATATGCTTTGAAGGCTAATATGTATATATGTATGTAATTTTTTATGGGCTAATAAATAAATTAACCATTAGTTACAACAATTTATATTAAACTTGATAAGTAATCTTTGACGGTTCGTTGTTTAGGATATAAAGTATATGGTTAGGGTATAAGGTATAACCGTATAAGGTACATATGGTTTAGGGTGTATATGGTTAGGGTATAAGATATTGATGGTTTTGACGGTTCTAAGTTTTTTTATTAACATATGTTCACTTGAAGTCATTTGAAGTCTTTAACGGCCGGAGATCCCTTTTTAATTTATGTTTATGGTACGTGGTTAGGGTACAAGGTATGTGGTGTAAAGTATAGGATATATGGTTAGGGTATAACAATTAGCAAATATCACTTTTTATCTATGTTTTGAAAATCAAAGTATGAATTTCACTTTTAAATTAACTATACTAGCAAAATCACAACTCAAGGACATATGATTAGGGTATAGGTTATGTGGTTAGTGTATTATGTATTGATGGTTTAGGGTATACAATCAACAACATATACTAACTTAATATTGTTGATTGAGGATAAAGCTAAGTGTATAGGATATATGCTATTGAGTAAGTTATGATTGAAGTCACAATAATTTTACTAAATTTGATAGCTAATCTTTAACGGTTCAATTTTTAGGATAATTCGAACAATTTTACAAATAACTCGTTTGGCAACAGTTTACTAAAGCTATTTGGGCAATGAGTTATTTTGAAATAACTCCTTTTATCATTATGCTTTTGCCAAATACCACACGCCAAATACCAGATTTGCATGGTTATACTAAACGAGATACTTTAATCCAATTACTACTTAATTAATACTAAAATATCAAATAAACAATTAATGGTGTCTTTTGGTTGCAAATATTGATATCACCATTACTATTAGCTATAATACTTTACCAATTATGATTAATTACATAACAAGTTTGCAAGTCATACAAATTGATTTAACATTTTGACTAGTTTTTTTTTCAAAAAAATAAAGTATATATATACGAGGTAGAAATAAATTGGTTAAAAAGTTGAGAAAATATTTTAAATTAGTGTAATAAAATGTGTAAGTTGGTAATGAGTAATGAGTTAAGTTACTTGATGCGCTGGCCCGAACAACCCGAAACCCGACCCGCCCGCAACCCGCCCGACCCAAAACCTGATGAACCCGCAACCCGATTTGCCCGCAACCCGAATGAATCCGAACCCGATGAACCCGCAACCCGACTAACCCGCAACCCGTTTGAACCCGTACCCAATGAACCCGATGAACCCGCAACCCGACTAACCCGCAACCCGTTTGAACCCGAACCCGATTGAACCCAGCCCGAACCCGCCCGAACCCGCCCGATTGACACCTATAGACGGTGGTGGTCCAATACTTGTGATTCGTTGTTTGGTTAATGACGTGTCACGCTGACTAGGTAAGAGTTAATGGAATTTTGGATGGAAGTGGATGGATTGACCAATTCATTATTCACTCAAATTTGTGTTACCGTGTAAAATTGAAAATTTGTGACCATTTTGTACAAAATGAATAGGTTTATGACCGATAATTAGTCCAGAAATCACAATTAAGCGCCCGAGTAACCAAGCCTAGGCGCTGGGCAGCCCTAGAACGTGACGACTATCCATTCCGCGGTGGATAAAGTGTTAAGAGAACTTGCTTTGCATTTTGTCATTTTTACGACCTAGTTTGAGAATGGGCTTTGCACGGACGAACTTACAAAGATAACATGAATTTTGGGATCACCTAATTTGTTTTAGATCGTTATTGGCATTAAACTTCATTAGGCATTTTTAGTTTTTTACCCAATAACATTCGTAAGTATTCTCAATTGGATGCATATAATATTTATCTAAGACAGTTGAAAGCATTAAGCGTGAGCTTTACTTAAAAATTACATGGATATAATATTTTTATAACTAATTTAGTGTTAAATGTTCATTAGTAAGTGTTTGTATGCAACATTTTTTTTTATAAAAGTTTTGTTATACAACTTGAGATTCTATAAATTTGTATTCCATTTTGTTTGTTGTTATGTGTTAGTTAGCTATTAGTAAAGCAACACTCAAGATTCATAAAAATACCTTAAATATTATATTAATCACTAATCCACAGAGTTCAATCTTATAATCTAACACATCATAGACTAGGATTTTCAATATCCAAGTGAATTGAGAGACTACTCCATAGCTAGAAAGGGAAATACAACAAAGATGGGAGAGAAAACCACATAGCTAGAAAGGGAAATACAACAAAGATGGGAGAGAAAACCATTGTGAGATGATCATTCTTCCTTCTAGTGCCCGATTCACCCTTTGGAGAAGAAATCTTCAACCCTTTAACTTTGGGTAAGTCCAATCCTCCTTCTTCCTCTTCTTAACTCGACACTTTCTCTCTCTACTCAAAGAAGAAGACCCACATCTCACTCTAGAACTCCCTTTATGTTTCATCTCTCTCTCTCTCTCTCTCTCTCTCTCTCTCTCTCTCTCTCTCTCTCTCTCTCTCTCTCTCTCTCTCTCTCTCTCTCTCGTCGGGTCGTTTCACAATTAGATATCACGCTCGTGATGTCGAAGGTCTAACCGTGATCTCGGCGCAAAATGCGGAGTTTTACTAATCGACATCATGGGTTGCTGTAAATTGTCATGGTTTGGTGACCGTGATGTTTGTCTTGCCCGCGAGCCATCAAAAACCTACTAAAAGTTGTCCGATGTCACGGCCAGAGCTCCATCTTCACGGTATGTCGTCCATGCTGGGCGTGATCTCTGCATTTTGTCCGTCTTCGCTCTATTTTCGTCCTCTTTTGTTTGACTTTCGATCTCTAAGCTAATTCCACCTGTTAGGATATGAAATATACTAAAACACGCGCAAACATAGCGTAAAATTGCTCATCGGTCGATACAAATGTCACAAACGTCACAAGGTGCAAATATGTGCAATTACACCCGAATCAATAATCCAATAAATTTTCTTAATTTACATATCCATAACTAACCCCTTTTGCGAAAATAGCCAATAACAGGCAAAAATCCGCTACAAAAGATTCCGATGATTCCCAAAAAGAACACAAAACAAATATTGTTGAGATATGCAATCGTGGAAAGTGTCAGAACAGAATATACCAACTAAAAAAGGTGGAGTGAAGCTAACTATAAAGAATCACCACCCTTTGTATGTCAGTATGTCCTTCAAAAAAAAGCCAAAAACCCAACTGCCTGTGCATCTCTCTTTCCAAATTACCATTTCCCTCGCAAACAAGAAAATGACTACAGTACTGATCCTGCAAAATTCCAATTTCAATACGCTGATCCTACAAAATCCTCATCTACCTCTCACTTCACACGGAAACTATTCTTCGCGTCTCCCTGTAGATAGATAGATAGATAGATAGATAGATAGATAGATAGATAGATGTAGAGAGCTAGCGAAGCAAGCAAATTGAAATCAGTATCAGAGGTCAAGGAAAACATGGACAAGAGAATCTCAGCAGCACTGAAGATGAAGCTTGCTTTCCTCTTCTGCATCCTTGTGCTGGCCACCACTTCCTCAGCAGGTGGTGAGTCTTCTTCTTAATTATATTTTCTTCCGCGGACGGAGGCTGAGTTTCCTTACTAGTGATTTTCTTTCATCTTCTTTCTGTGTTTTGATTCTTCGATCTATATATTAATTAGGTGCGGCGGCGGCGGCAGCGGCGGAGATGAAGAAAAACAGTGGAGGTAATGAGAGTGCGGTGGTGCCAGATTCTGACGAGGAGTATTGCCGACTTGTGGTATGCAAAGGGCTGAAATGCGGCAAGGTGTACGCAGCCGACGGAAGCTGTTGGTGTGTTCTCAAGCAAGGCCCACTCGTCGCATTGCCTTGCGCCAATTAGCTACCTACCTACCTTACCCTTTATTATATATTAAAAAAATAATGGCTGCAGAAGATTCTAATGAATAACCAGTAGAGCAGAGCAGTACGTACTTGAGCTCGTGCCATGACATCATCTATGTGAAAGGGAGCCGAATAGGTCGGTAAATGAAAGATTAAGTTACATGCATGACTCATGGAAAGGGGCGTCTTTTGTGTCATGAATAAAATGGGGCTGGGTAGTGATATATATGATGAAACCATTTTTCTGGGATCATAAAATCCTATTGACACAAAAAAGTGAATATTATGGTATTTTATATTGAAATTGAAGTTCAATCTTCTCATATCGTTAAAAACTGTCTACCGATTTAACCATCGATAACAGGTTTTCTCTGTTGCTTCTCTGATATTACATCCCCCCCCCCCCCCCCCCCCCCACACCACATGATTATGCTTTGTTAAGATGATTTATCAGTAGAGAGTTCCTTTGACTGTCACACGTATACATGCATATAAAAATGTTGCTTGTATATATGCATCAATGACGTTACGGTAGACTTAAGCTAAAAATGTATATAAACAATCATATCTCAATTTATCCTTTATACAAACTAAATGTCGATTTTAGTTACCATAGATCAAGTTGGCAAAAAATTTGACTATGTTCATCAAGATAACTTTTGGAGGTTGTTGTTAACGAATGTGTTTGGGGATTCTCTGTGGGCAAATTCAGGTGAATATATCTCTACTTTTGTTGGTTTGACCTAGCGTGGCCATTAATGCGATTTTTTAGTTCATTAGATCTATGAGATCACATAAAAATGTTTGCACCTCATTTACTTCTCAAGAATTAAATTTTAACTAAGATAAGACAATTGAAAAAAGATCGATTCAAAAGCAAAGGTATTGATATCCCATATTGATACCGCGTAAATTAATTATACATATTTTTACTCCCCATTTGATGTTGATTGAGCTATCATTTCTTCAAGCTATATATGTTTTTGCATGTTTCATACTTGATTTATTGTTTAAGTTTGTTTCGGATCATCTTGAGTGAATTTCGATTGATATTTGGACAAAAAGCATACTAAAGATGGAAGTTATGGAGTTCGAGCGATTTAAAGATCGTTTAGGCGAAATCTGAATATACTTTACTAGCCCAGCACGACCTAGAACAAGGCCATGCTGATGGGCGCGCTTAGGAATCAAATACCTCTCAAAAATCCATGGGAAAGAAGAAAAAATAAGCTGCCAAGCCTAACACAGTCTATACCACGACCTTGCTCGAGCCCGAAATTTTGCCTCGTTAAGCTGCAATCAGATTTTCTGAAGGTGAATTTGGTTAGAGTAAATCTAAAACCTAGAATGCAAGTTAGAGGGCAGAGAAAGAAGATTTTTCAGCAACTCTACTCCGGAGGAGTCGATTGAGAGCGATCAATCAAGGAGTTCACCATGAAGATTGACTTTTTTTCACTTTTTGTTCCTGTTCCCTCATAAAATAATCATTCTTTGTTGGGATTAATTGCAAGGGTAGTCACTAGACTACTAAAAATTGGGGTTGGAGAGGAAAATTTTGAAAATTTATATTTATTTATTTTTTAATTGCCCATGTCACACATTTAACGGTTAACTCTTAGAGTTGACCGCCACATAAGCAAAAGTTAACAGAGTTGGACGAAGAGTGAACAAACTTGAAGTATTTAGCTAAATTAAGTGACCACAGATGGAATTAAATATTTCTAGTTACTAAACATGAACTTTTTTAGTAATCTCAGTGACCAACCTTGTCTGTTTCGTGTGTATGACGAGGAATGTATCCCTACATGCATGATAGAACCCTCAAATATGAAAGGGAATTATGACTTCCCGGATATAGAGGACAAATGAGTTTTGGATTAGAGCATATACATCAATGATATTTTAACAATTGCAAATTTTATATGGCACTCATCATACAATTGCCAATGGGATTGCCCTAATGTAGTAGGCACTTGTAAAGACGCAAGCTTTCAATAAATGAAATTAAGAAATCCACATAAAATAAAAAAATTAATTTTTTTATCTTATGATTGTTTTATTTTTCATTTATTATAAAATAACATAAACCCTTATATATGCAATTGCAAGTGAATATCATTGATCTAGGTGCAATGAAATAAAGTTGAGTTGGATTGCATAAAGTTTGAGATGACAATACAAACATCATATGCAATTGGTTTTGCAATTGTGGTGGGGATATTGCAAAGAGTGGAGCCCAAGCAAGGGCATGACGAAGCTCAATAACGACAGGTTTGGTTACCCAGAGGGAGAAACCCACGAATGGGCCTGCCGGGCCCTGTCCAAATAGGATGAGGGGCGCATAGAGACAAGATACGAAAGACCCCAAAGAAGTATAGGTTGTCAGCAGTCCCCCCCCCCCCCAGACGCTGTCAGTTGTCAGAAGACTGACAAGGCGGTTGGGGAGCCTGACAAGAATAAAGGTACGAAGCATTAAATGTGATTCTGACGTGGAGGAACTCGACCTCGGGTTGGGTGAGTATAGATAGGGCAGTAGGTGGAATTTATAGAATTTGGACTCTCTCACTTAACTCTAAAGCTTACCACTTCTCTCTCTAAAACCAAACGGACATGATAAGGTTGGTGTGAAGTTGGGCTCCAAAGTATCAGGGCTCAAACAATTGGCGCGCCAGGAAGGGGAATATGACCGAAAGTTGCAAACATGGAGGACCGCGGTGTCAAGAGAAAGGATGCCCGAAGTCGTGGCAGAGGCAGGAAGTGAGTCGAGGTTCCCGAGTTCCCAGGCGCCTCGCTCACCAAGAAAGATCTATTCAAGATCATCGAAGACCAGGACGAGGCAATTGAGATTCTCAAGAGGGAAGTTGAGGCATTGAAGAAGGGAGAGGGGATGGGGCGTAGTCCGACTTTAAGGAAAAATGGAAAGAGATGTGGAGATAGAAGAGGAGTCCGGGCAAGCAAGGCGCCCTATATCTGTGTGGCGCCGGAGAGACCATGCAAACTCGGATTTTGAGTGGCTCCACGGGTGAGAGCCGGGGCGCCTACCCCGACATTGCCAAGTAAGACAGCCCTGGCAAGGAACGTGCTAATGGAGCCGGCTGGAACAAACATACCCCCACTTCCCGTCTACGATGGGACGGCGGACCCAGATGACCATCTGAACGGCTACTTTACAAAGATGCTACTCTACAACAGCTCCGATGCCACCTTGTGCAAGGTATTCCCATCGACTTTCGCAGGCGTGGTGCTGGATTGGTATCACCAAATTGAGGAGGGGCACATAGATTGCTTCGAGCAATTTGCAGCAATGTTTACGGCAAAATTTGGTAGAAGGAAACGTCGCTCCCTGACCATAGGCTCCCTCTTCAAAATTAAACAGAAGGAGGTTGAGGCCTTGAGAGAGTTTTACGAGAGGTGGTTCTCTGTAGCCCTGGCGGTAAGGGACGCCCAGCCTTCGGTGTTGGAATGCTGCCTAAACGAATGCACCTTTAGTGAGGAACTTTGTAGGGCATTGGCAAAGAGAGACGTGGTGTCCACGGAAGATTTGGATAGTAGGGGGCAAAAGGTAATCGTGTTGGAGGAAACCTTGGCAGCCTGGAGGACAGATAGGCGCCGAATGAGAGGAGATGAGGGTGAGACTTCCCGGAGGCAGATGCCTCCCCCAGGGCCGATGCATACTCCCTCAGGTTATGCATAAGGGAGAAGGATGGACGCATGGTTCCCCCAACCGCGAGGGGATGGCTCCTTTGCGCAATTTAACGATACGCTGATGAATGTGCTCCAGTATGTCAAGGAGAAGGGATATCACGTTCGATGGCCAGGACCAATGAGAGGGCAACCCAATGAGCGGAACCTGAACCGATACTACGATTTCCATCGAGAGAGAGGGCATCATTCCGCCAATTGTTATCAACTGAAGACAGAGCTACAGGGCTTTGTGGATAGAGGAATGCTCAACGACTTTATCTGAAAAGCCGAAGAGAAAATGCACCGCACTTGTGTAGCCAGGACAAAGTTGAAGACGGTAGAGTTGCCCCCACCGCCATACGACCTCGACCAGGAAAAGACACCCGAGCGGGTGCTACTCATGGTAGAGTCCATCACAGGATCGGTCAACCTGCGGGAAAAATTGGAAACAAACCGCTATTAAAGGGCTGCTTCAGTGGGCTCCCAGGAGGCCATCGACATTCATTTCAACCAGATGCCTGAGGAAGCATGTAGACTTCCATCTATGGACGCGCTGGAGGTACAAGGAGTAGTGGCGGGTTGCAAGGTGAAACGGATGCTCGTTGACACAAGAAGCTCGATTGACGTGTTGTTTAAAGAAACGGTGGCACAAATGCAGTTGTCACCCAATTTAATCCAACGCTCAGAATCTGTGCTAATTGGATTTTTTGGGGAGCCCGCAAGAGTGATCGCCTGAGTGCACCTGCCCGTAACTCTGGGGGACGAGGAGCAGAGGGTCACTCATGCAATAGATTTCGGAATAGTGGACTGCCCCTCCCCGTATAACACGATACTTGGGAAGCCCCTCATGGCCCTCTTCAACAGAGTGGCGTCTACATTCCATTAGACTCTAAAGTTTATCGCCCCTAAAGGAGTGGGAGTGGCCCGAGGACGAAGTGCCCCGCGTTATGCCCGTCAGACGGGAGGTAAGCGCCTACGAAGAGGTGAGAGAGTTAACGTGGTGGACATCCCACCAGAGGAGGCGCCTCGAGCCGAGGCAGCAGATGAAGACCTTCTGATCGTTTTGAATGAGGGGCGCCCTGATAGGCAAATTCGAATATCGGCATAGGCGCCCGAGGAAATTAGAGAACGATTGATCGACCTACTGCGGGAGTTCGGCAAACTCTTCGCGTGGACCGCCATGGAGATGGCCGGGGTGGCGCCCGAAACGACAGTCCATCGGTTGGCAGTAGATAAGGGGAAGAAGCTTGTCCAACAGAAGAGAAGAAATCTGTCGCAAGAAAAGGAGGCAACGTTACGGATGGATGTTAATAAGTTGCTTGGAACAAATTTGGTGGAAGAAGCTATCTACGTCACTTGGCTATCGAACGTGGTATTTTTGCCCAAGCCGTCGATGGATTGGAGGATCTTAGTCGATTTCACAAGCCTCAATCGAGCATGCCCTACTAACTCATACCTGATGCCTCGCATAGATCAGTTGGTAGACGCCACCGCTTATCATGAGATGCTCAGCTTTGTGGACATGTTTTCGGAATACCACCAAATGCCCATGGCCGAGGAGGACCAGTCTATGATACCACTTGATAT